GAACCAGAAGGACGAAAGTTCCTTTGTTTTCCGCTGTCTAGGAGAGGCTCTTTCCATCAAGTTGTGATGGGAGAGACTCTCGCTGTGGTGCTGAGCTGCAGCTGATGAGCGCAAAGCACAGCTCCATTATTGGCTCAGTGAGAAGAAACAAGTGTTGTTTATGCGACCTGAGGCTCCATCTCGTTTCTCTCGCAGGAGGAAGGGGGAGGTCCATCCGAGCAAGCTGCTTTGATACTGCACAGAAAAGGCTTTGACTGTGACTTCTCCAATCGGAACACTGGCCTACTGTGTGCCACCACACGTGGCAAGGTAAAGCAACAGATCACGCGGCTTCCCACACACAGACACATCACAAATTCAAAGAGAGTCTCACACATATTCCATAGAACACAAAAGGGAGAACTCACAGGTTTTTTTTACCATCCAAATACAATGAAATGTGATGAGAGCATTCAAGTTTCAATAAGGGCACAGAAACACCATAAAAGTGATCTAATGCCTGGTTTAGATTACACGATTTTTTTTTTGTCTGTTACGATAGTCACTGTGTCAGATTACGTGATTTTGACTCCTAAAATCTTGTGGACAAGAAACGTCGGACTACACGTTGCTTCTTCGCGTGCCGTCTTTAACAAGGCGTGTGATGTCATCGAGAAGGCGAAACTAGTTGCGAGTGACTTTCGGAAACGAACGTGAACAAACAATGGATGAAGCGTGAGTGTTGTATTGGCTGTCCTGTGTTCAGAAAAAAGTGAAAAATGAAAGAAAACCCGACAATGGATACGTTCCTGGATTGCTCGAAGAGAACTTGAGGTAAAATATTGTTTTCTTATATATTTTTACTTTTAGCACCATCGTCTCTCTTTCGTTGCGCCATTTTTGAAAGTTGTGTATGGAAAAGCTTGTGCTCCTATTGGTCAACCTCATACATGTGACGGAACCCGTCGTGGACGGCCGTTAAAAAAATTAAACATGCTAGTCTTTTTGTCGTGATGTCGTGAAGCATCGGAGACGCGCCGTAGGTTGTCGCCCACTATGACACACTATACGAGATGATACGAGACAATCTTGCGTTGTTGTTTACGAATCCCCACGACACCCTATGTCAAACGGATCGTGCCAAAATCGGGCTAAAATCGTGTAATCTGAACCAGGCATAACAGTGTCAATTTCAACAATAACAAGTCAATTTTTGGGCGAGAAACAAACCTTCACCGTGAGTGAGTTTTAACCTGAGAACTGTTGCTATTGAAATTAGTGGTCTACTGATATATCAGCCCAGATTTGGCATTTTTTACATATTGGCTGATAAAACTTTTGCTGATAATTTCCTCACCCCCATGTCATCCAAGATATCCATGTCTTTTTTTCTTCAGTCGAATAGAAATTAAGGTTTTTGATGAAAACATTACAGGATTTTCTCCATATAATGGACTTCAGTGGGAACCAAACGGTCCAAAAGACAGTTTCAGTGCAAACTGCAAACTGTTCAAAGGGCTTTAAACGATTCCAGACGTCTTATCAAGCGAATTGATCGCTCATTTAAAATAAAAACAAAGTTTAAAGTTTATAACTCTCCTGTTCAAACTCGTTTATCAAAATGAACAAATCCTTTTTCGTGTCATTTGGTTCATTCAACGAACGAAATGAACGAATTGACTCGGAAAAAGATTTGTTCATTTTGATGAACGAGTTCGTACAGGAGAGTCACGAATGCGCATCACAGAACAGAGCAAGGCGACCATTTGAGCTTATAAAACTTAAACGTTGTAATTTTTTATTTTAAACTAGCGATCGTTTCGCTTGATAAGACCCTTATTCATCGTCTGGAATTGTTTAAAGCCCTTTGAACAGTTTGAACCATTTGGTTCCCAGTAAAGTGCATTATATGGAGAAAAATCCTGGAAAATCCTAATTTCTTTTCAACTGAAGAAAGAAAGACATGGATATCTTGGATGACATGGGGGTGAGTAAATTATCAGCAAAAGTTTTTTTTTTTAAAGTGAACTAATCCTTTAACACTCATGGAAATAAACATACGAATGGTTTACGCAGTAACACATGAAGATAAGACATGAGAAAGGGTTTTAACATTAAAAAATGCTAAACTTCGGCATGGTTTATGTAAATAACGCAATGAGCTATAAGTCCCGTAAGTATATAAACGTTGTTTACTTTCCACTTAGTCTGAAAGGTTTACAAGCTAAGCCTGTGAACTGTCAGACATGCAAACCATCTCACTTTTTACAAGTGACAAATCAAAGTCTTAAGGCCGTGAGTGACTCAATGCATGCTTGAACGTGTTGTGTTGGAAATGCTCTAATCAACATACTGTTTGCTGTGTGTGTGTGTAGATTAACTTAGAGAAGCTCCTGACAGATCTGAAGGTGAAAAGCATCACTCCTGTTTCGCTGTCTCTGATGCACACATACAATAGTGAAGCCGACCCGCAGGAGATCAGCCTTAAACCCATGGAAATCAGGACTTACCGCCTCCAGCTGAGCTGAGCTGCAGTCACACCGGCTCACACATTCGAGAGCCTTCAGCCGAGGACTCGTTCACTGACTGTCAATATATGCTTCACAGCAAAGTGCAATATGAAATCTAGAAGAATTCCCAACCAGCTCTCTCAGGTTATTTTAACAGAACGCGAAGCTTCTTGCGCGTGATTCACTGTGCGGGGAGTTGACGTGTCTTCTTTGCTGAGAACGTACATGTTGTTGTACGATTTGCAAGTGTTGCTACGGTGGGAATGGTGCAAGAAACGCTTTTCTTGCTTCTGTTATTTGATGAAGAGAAAAGCTCGTTTGATCAGAGGGCTTGTCCCGTTCAATTTATCCTCAATTCCCAGATTAAAGCTAATATATAGGGTTAGGAAAATTGATTGGATTGACCTGAATTTATTTTTTTCTTTATTACTTTATTTTATTTTCATCCCAACATGTTTTACTCCAAATTGTGCCTTAGTCTTTCTTAATGGATGTGATAGAATAAGCCATTTTAAAATTGAACACATTATTTTTATCATTCACTACACTATCAACAGTCATTTTGCAATCTTTAAATGATTTCTTTATAAATAATTTCTGGCAATCCAAATGACTGCAAGTTGTGTGTGTTTATCACATTCATTGAAATGGACCATTTAATGTAACTTGAAATTTAGATGATGAAGCCTCAGATTTTGTGTCTAATACTGTCTATCTTTCTTAAGTGATTTTTTTTTTCTAAATATATAGATAGTATATATTGGTCGCTTTTTTTTCCCCACTTTTTTATTTTATTTTATTCAGTCTGAAGGATTGTAAATAGGTTCAGTAGCAACTTAAATTGACCAAAGGTTGGTGGGTGTCTTGTACTAAAGAATGTTTATTGAAGATTTAATTCCATTGTTCCCAGAGATTATAATTATCAAATGTTTTATTTAATATATTAGGCTACACTCTAAAACATATGATTATAAAGTTATGACAACATATGTTTTTACATTTACTTTAAGTCATCAAAATAAGTTAAAGGAGTAGTTCACCCCCATGTCATCCAAGATGTCCATGTCTTTCTTTCTTCAGTCGAAAAGAAATGAAGGTTTTTGATGAAAACGTTCCAGGATTTTCTCCATATAATGGACTTCATTGGGAACCAAACGGTTCAAGTGTCCAAAAGACAGTTTCAGTGCAGCTTCAAAGGGCTTTAAACGATGAATAAGGGTCTTATCTAGGACCCTTCGGGTCATGACTCAAAAAAAGATTTGTTCATTTTGATGAGTTTGAACAGGAGAGTCATGAACGCTCATCACAGAACAGAGCAAGGCGAGCATTTGTGCTTATAAAACTTAAACTTTTTTATTTATTTTGGAAATGCCCGATCGTTTCGCTAGATAAGACCCTTATTCATGGTCTGGTGTTGTTTAAAGCCCTTTGAAGCTGCACTGAAACTCATTTGGACCTTGAACCGTTTGGTTCCCATTGAAGTCCATTATATGGAGAAAATCCTGGAATGTTTCAATTTCTTTTGGACATCTTGGATGACATGGGGGTGAGTAAATTATCAGCAAACGTTTTTTTTACTCCTTAAAGCATTTTTAGACAAGATTCTACTCATTTTAGTGTAATTTAAGTTACATCCAAGTTGATTACACTTATAAATTTAAAGGCTGCAATTTACAGTGTATATGATTCTAAACATGTATATATTAATATCAATAGAAATATAAATTCTCGCAATGGTTGAGTTGGAAGGAGTGCTTGATCATAAAATGGTCTCGTGGTTATTATGGATTCTAAACGTGATTGTGTTGAAGTTTATGAATGGGAAAAAAGCTAGATTTATTATTCTATCAAACTATGCAAATGTAAATGTTTGTCTTATGCAACAATGATTTATTTTTTTAGACCTTAAATCACAGACTTCCTGTAGTTTACCTGGCAAGATCCCAATTTTACCTGGAACTCTTTCTAACATGTAGATTTGGCACACATTCTGATCTATATGAATGTTTTTCTCAAACGAATTGGCCTTCATTCTGTGACGTTTATCCTGGAAGGGAGTCCATTATCTGTCTTATACTCTGGGTGTCTTTGTTTAGTGTGAACGATGATCATTTGTTGACTTACTACTGTGATTTTTTTGATTCGGCATGTTTTTCTTTTTCCTTTTACGAATACTTCGACTGGCGTGTCGTTTCGGATGGTCAGTCAGAAGTGCTGCGATCACTGTATTCCAACTAGCTGCTTAATTCACACTTTTATGACCAAATTGGTCTGTGACTAGTGAATCAGGATAATGAAAGCAAAGCAGGCCAATGCTTTCTGACCCTGTGAGAATATTCCTCTATTTTTACTCTTGAAAAGTGTGGTGACTATCTGAAGAGTGTATCTTTTTACTGATGTTGCCAATTACAATTTTAGCCAACGAATGTCTATCTGTCTGTCTGTCATTTGAAAGGAATGTTACAGAAAAATAAAATTTGTTTAAGTTTTAAGTATGTTTGCCACTATTTTTCAGTGATTTATAGACTTAAAGTTAGAATCATGTGTTGACTCATGGTAACTTGTGTTCTTTTTGACCTTTTCCATGCGTTTCTTCATGATCGCCTCCTCGTCCTCGTCCTCTTGCTTTCTTTTTTCCAGCACTGTCTTTTCAATTTCTTCCTCTCTTTCCATCATTATTTTCAATTCCTTTTGCCACTAAAAGTTTTGGAAAGTGTTAGAATAGATTATTAGACATTTTTAAGACTCTTTCTCCAGTTTAAAGCTCCCATTAACAAACATTGTGCCTCTTGTTATCCAAATACTAATCTAAACTTGGTTAGGAAAGCTTAGCGTTTTGTCTGGCTGATGGATTACTCGCTGAATCAAAGAGAATGCAATACTCACTTGATCTTTCACAACTTTAATCAGATCAATTTCAGTCCTGGTTCTCAGGTCCATGTGAGAAGGTCCATGTTTGCCTTGTCTGATCGAATTTGGCACATGTTTGAAATGAAAGAGATGAAATTAAGTATTGTATGGTACCATGACACAGTGGTGTATTATTTGATGATATTGCGGTATTTATATACCGTACTACTGAAACATTAAAGGGTCATACAAGTTTTTCAATGGTGAATGTAATACTATTATTCAGTATTGAGATTGGAGTCGCCAATTGCTGGTATTTAAAGTTTGGTGGATCAAAGTTTGGGGTCTGCAAGATTTATGTTTTTATTTTTTACTCTTATGTTCACCAAGGGTGAATTTATTTGATACAGTAAAAACAGTAATATTGAGAAATATCATTACAATTTAAAAGATATGTTTTCTATTTTAAAAACGGATTTGGGTTATTTTTGTTAGCAATACAATAAAAGTATTGTCGGTAACACTTTAGAATACTGTATCTTACTTACTGCATAACTAATAAGGAATTAATGAAGAACTAATAGGTAATTATTTATTAACACTTAAGTCACTACTGTTAACTACTAAGGAAGTTGTGTTAACTAATCAGTATGTAATAAAATTGTATGATTGTGTTAAGTATCAGTTAGTTAATCAATAGCTAATGAATGCTGTCATACCTCCTGAAGAACTACTATTAATTATCTATTTATTAAGGTTCAAGAAAAATAACAATGAAGTAACTACTTATTAACAGTCATACACAGTAGTCAGTTTGTCATTCTTCAGCACTAATAAGAAAGATAAGTGCAGACATTTACCTATAGGCTATGATCTGCAAATAAGCAAAAACATATCATGTATATTACACCTTATTATTATAAGGTTTTAGTAAGTTTACAGTAAGGTTTACAGTAAGTTTGATTTGAGTCAGAAGTATGTGGTAATTCTTTATTAATTACTAATGGGTTCCCCATATTGTCACTTTAGAATACTGTTTCAGGTTCTAAGTAATTCCCGAAGGACTATCTAATGATTATTTATTAATTACTAATAAGTTCCCTATATTTTTACTTTAGAAGACTGTTTCAGGTTATAAGTAGCCTAATTCCTAGATAATTATTTGATAATTCTTTATTAATTACTAATGGGTTCCCTGTATTTTCACTTTAGAATACTGTTCCAGCTTCTAAGCAATTCCTGAAGAACTATTTAAAAGTTATTTATTAATTACTAATAAGTTCCTTATTTTCACTTTAGAAGACTGTTTCAGATTATAAGTAGCCTAATTCCTGGATAATTATTTGATAATTCTTTATTAATTACTAATGGGTTCCCTATATTTTCACTTTAGAATACTGTTCCAGCATCTAAGTAATTCCTGCAGAATTATTTGATACTTATTTATTAATTACTAATAAATTCCCTATATTTTCAGTTTCCCTCAGTCGTTGCCTCAAATACATGAATTTACTCAGTGGCATTCTATGCTGAAGAAAACAGACACACACAGCACTGTATATAAAATATAAAACTCATCTGAGTTTAGTTTTGTATGACTGTTCAGTAGTTATTTTTCTTGAACCTTAATTAGTAGATAATTAGTAGTAGTTCTTCAGGAGGTATGACAGAATTCATTAGTTATTGATTAACTAATTGATACTTAACACAATCATAAAATTATATCACATACTAATTAGTTAACACATCTTCCTTAGTAGTTAACAGTAGTGAAGAAGTAGTTAATGAAGAATTACCTATTAGTTCGTCAATAATTCCTTATCAATTCTGCAGTAAGTAAGATACAGTATTCTAAAGTGTTACCGTATTGTCTTACAACCACAAAACTTTGAACGGTAATGTATATATTTTTAGAAATATGTTACAAAATAATATATCTGTCAATTCATTGTCTAACCACAGTAATTACAGTTAAATTTTACCCCAAAAACTGATAAACCATGGTATGTGTCCGTCAAGAAAAAAGTTTACCAGCTGCAATTTTTAAGAAGTGAAGCCAATGACCTTGGTGCCTTGTGAGCGTCTTTAATAACAGTCTGAGGTGGCTCAGTCCTGGCTGTGGAAACTGCCTCTTTGCTGGGTTTGGTGGTTTTCATTCTGTGTCGGTGGTTTGCAGAATGAGTAGTGAGCTGAACTGGAGGCCAGATCTTGGAAAGAGTGTGTGCCAGCCGCCTAGTGATCCACTCGCTCTGTGCACATACACACACATAAACTGTGTGTGAACTTCTCATCCTCCCTCTGTGGTTCTCCAGAAGCCTTTTATCCCCCTGGAAAGGAGATAACAACAGATAGAAACGTCTCGGTTACGTATGTAACCCTCGTTCCCTGAGTAGGGAACGGAGACGTTACGTCAGAAGTGACGGAGATTGGGGGTTTCGCATAGAAAGCCAATCCTCTTCGAGTATTAAAACACGAGCCAATGGCATGCAATGCCTTGGGGCTGCGGAAATTTGCATAGCGTACTCCGCCCTACTCCGTGAGTATAAAAGGAGGAAGTGAACGCAACCGCAGTATGTCTTCGCTGAGGAGCCAAGACTGAACTCGGCCTCTACCCAGCGATACAGCAGAAGTGGCAGGGAGACGTAACGTCTCCGTTCCCTACTCAGGGAACGAGGGTTACATACGTAACCGAGACGTTCCCTATCGTAGTCACTTCGAGTTACGTCAGAAGTGACGGAGATTGGGGGTCTGTGCCATCACGCCATCTTCAAGCTGTCTTCCAGTGCCCTGCGAAAGACTGAACCCCCGAGCCTTACCTCTTTTTTTTTTTTTTTTTTTTTGGGGATCCGACTTTGACACAGGATTACCAAGGTACACTGGGAACATATCCCGAAGGGGACATGCTACCAGCTGCCTACCGAAGGGAGGACTTAAGAATACACATATGGCCACATAGGAACGCATATGGAACACTGGAGTACCAACCGCAGGTGGCTACTGATTTAAACTCCAGGGGTGGCAGATGGCTTGCCAAGGGAAGACACATGCTCAGAGAGGCTTACAGTGGATAATACACATGAGACGGTTACCATGGGGAACCGTGCGCATGGAGGCACCTAGCTAGCATCCAGAGCAACGCAGTGGTGCCCGCATCGTCGGTGCTGGAGGACTCAAGACTTCAATGGAAGAACTGAGGAAATATCGCACTTATCCAGTCCGGGGAGTGGAGTGGCGAGCAAGCGAAGACACCTGAGCGGATCCAGAACTGGCCGAAACGAGTACGTGAGAGGATACCGGCTCAATTCGCAGATTATAGAATCTGGCGAAGGTGTTGGGTGTCGCCCAGCCTGCAGCTCTGCAGATGTCTGTTAGCGAGGCGCCGTGCGCTAAAGCCCAAGAGGAGGCTACACTCCGAGTGGAATGGGCCGTCACACCAAGGGGGCACGGAAGGCCTTGCTGCTGGTAAGACAAAGCAATGGCATCCACTATCCAGTGGGACAGCCGTTGCTTTGAGAGAGCCCTTCCCTTCTGGCTCCCCCCATGACAGACAAAGAGCTGGTCTGAGGTCCTGAAACACTGCGTTCTGTCGACATAGGTGCGGAGAGCACGTACCGGACAGAGCAGTGCCAAGGCTGGGTCTGCCTCCTCCAGGGGCAGCGCTTGCAGGTTCACCACCAGGTCCCGGAGGGGAGTGGTAGGAACCTTGGGCATATATCCAGGCCGGGGTCTCAGGAATACGTGAGAGTAAGCCGGCCCGAACTCCAGGCACACTTCGTCAACAGAGAGGCGTGCAGGTCCCTTACTCTCCTGATGGATACCAATGCAATCAGGAGTGCTGTCACATAGGACAGGGCAAAAACTCTACCGACTGCAAAGGCTCCAGGGGAGGCCTCTGCAGAGCACCCAGGTCTACTGAGAGGTCCCCAGAGGGCAGGAGGGGAGGGAGGCGGATTTAGCCCCCTCACTCCCCCCAGGAACCTGATGACCAGGTCATGCTTCCCATAGACTTACCTTTCACTGCATCATGAGACGCGGCAATGGCCGCGACATAATCCAAAGGGTGGAGGGCGACAGCCTGCGCTCCAACCCCTCTTGCAGGAAGGAAGCATGACTCCGATCGAACATCTCCGGGGGTCTTCTCAGCGAGAAGAACACCAATTGACGAAGAGGTTTCACTTCAACGCATAAAGGTGTCACGTGGACGACGCTCTTGCGGAAGTGATGGTTGCCGCCACCGCAGGTGGCAGCGAACTCAAACCTGCCTCGTCCCGTCCTGGAGCCACACGTGCAGCCTCCAAGATCGGGACGAGGGTGCCACAGAGTGCCCCGTCTCTGAGAGAGTAGGTCCGGTCTCAGAGGAATAGGCCAAGGAGGTGCTGTCGCGAGGAGCAAGAGTTCGGAGAACCACGTCTTGGTGGGCCAGTAGGGGGCTACCAGCAAGACCTGCTCCTCGTCCTCCTTGATCTTGCACAACACCCGTGCAAGGAGGCTCACTGGGGGAACGCACACTTGCGTGGGCCCCGTGGCCAGCTGTGCGCCAGCGCATCCGAGCCGAGAGAGCCGCGGGTCAGAGAATAACTGGGCGCAGTGGGACGAGTCCCGAGAGGCGAACAGGTCTAACTGTGCCTCCCCGAACTGGTCCCAAATCAGCTGGACCGACTGGGGATGGAGTCGCCATTCGCCGGAGATGGGACGGGCCCGGGACAGCTCGCGGCTGCCCGATTCCGGTCTCCAGGAATGTAACTGCACGAAGGGACCTCAGGTGCTTCTGACTCCATATCAAGAGGTGGCGGGCGAGCTGCGACAACCGGCGCGAGCGTAGACCCCCCCTGGTGGTTGATGTACGCTACTGCCGTAGTGTTGTCTGAGCGGACAAGCACATGCTGGCCCTAGAGCACGCTCGGAAGCGGTGCCGGGCGAGCCGTACTGCCGACAGCTCGAGGCAATTGATGTGCATGAGGCGCTGGGCTCCTGTCCAGGAACCGGCGGCTGCATGCCCATTGCACATGGCACCCCAACCCGTGGTAGACGCATCCGTGGAGACAACGAGATGCCTGGAAACTCGCTGAATAGGGACCCTGTCCGTAAAAAGCTGAGGTTCGACCACGGGAAGAAGGATCGGCGGCACGTCGGAGTCACTGGAACTCGGAGCGAGCCGCGATGCCATGCCCACCTCGGGACTCGATCGCGAAGCCACAGCTGAAGCGGTCTCATATGAAGCAAACCGAGCGGCGTTGCCGCGGCCGCGGATGCCATATGCCCCAGGAGCCTCTGAAAAGTTTCAGTGGAACCGCACTCTTGCCCTCGAACTGTCGAAGACAAGCCAGCAGTGAGTGCGCGCGCTCGTTCGTGAGCTGCGCGGACATGGCGACCGAGTCTATCTCCATGCCGAGAAAAGAGATCCTCTGCACGGGGCAAAGTTTGCTCTTTTCCCGGTTGACCCGAAGGCCCAGACGGGCTAGGTGCCGTAGCACCAGGTCTCTGTGTTCGCAAACCTGAGCTCGAGAGTGTGCTAGTAACAGCCAGTCGTCGAGATAGTTCAGGATGCGAACCCCGTGTTCGCGAAGGGGAACAAGGGCTGCCTCGACGATCTTCGTGAAGACGCGAGGGGACAGAGCTAACCCGAATGGGAGAACGGCGTACTGGTATGCCTGGCCCTCGAAGGCAAACCGAAGAAACGGTCTGTGTCGAGGGAGAATGGAGACATGGAAGTACGCGTCCTTCAGGTCGATCGCTGCAAACCAATCCTGATACCGAACACATTCGAAAATGCGTTTGGCCGTGAGCATTTTGAACGGTAGTCGATGGAGAGAACGGTTCAAAATGCGCAGGTCCAGGATCGGTCGTAACCCACCGGTCTTTCTTGGGGACAATGAAGTAGGGGCTGTAAAGCCCGGACCTCACCTCGGCTGGAGGGACCGTCTCGATTGCACCCTTCGCCAGCAGGGTCGCAATCTCCGCTCTCAAGACTGGGGCATTGCCACCAACCATCGTGGAGCGAACTCCCCTGAAGCGGGGAAGAGACCGTGCGAACTGAATCGCGTAGCCGAATCCGATCGTTCTGATGACCCAGCGGGAACCCCGGGAAGCGCTAGCCAGGCTTCCAGGAAGTGAGCCAACGGGGTCATGCGAACCACAGACGTCCCCCCGGAGGGGCAGCGAGGCGGGTCGACCGGCATGCGTGCAGGAGTTACCCCGTCCGGATGCACCGTCGAAACCCGCTCCCCGACAGAAGAGACCAGGGAAGGCAGAGCGTTCCACGGGGGTCTGTTCTGCCGGGGGTCTGGCGACAGAGGGGGAAGGGATTGGCGTAGCCCGGGGACGACACACGCACCCTTCCGCGCCCTCCGAGACAGAGAGGAATGAACGGGGCGACGCACTGGACGTCGTGCGCGCTCATTCCAGTCTGTGTGCTCAATGACAGTGTCAGCTTTTCCTCAACCAGCTCAGGGAGCTAGCTAGAACAAAAGATTCTCCACCGGCCCTCCACCGGGGAAGGAGGGGCCCTGCCACCGCCTCCTGAGAAAAACCATGACACTATCACTGAGCGGCCCGCCTCAGGAACATCGCTTCGCCTGGCATCTAGCGGGGCACGCGGCCTGAGGGGGGGCTCTTTTCTTGGGACGCTTACCTGTGGCCTCCTCCGCGACGCGAACCGGCTGAAGGCTGCTGCTGGGGCCGCGTGGGAGGGAAGGGAGCCGCAGGGGGGCGTCCTCGGCGGCGAGCTGGCGGAGGCGTCCGAGCCGACGGCTGGTTGGAGGCAGCAGCTGGCCGTCGGGGCAGAGAAACCGCCTTCGTCTGCTCCTAGGCGGTCGAGAAGTGCTGGGCAAAGTCCTGGACCGCACCGCCGAACATTATGATGCTCCTGGACCACAGCGGTGGGCATCACCTGACCAAGGGAGCGAGCGACCGCCTCCGTGACCCGTTTAAGGACAAGGTAGGCGACAGGCTCGCAGCTCGCTTGGTCCGTCACCTCCTCGTGCACATTCCTGAGCAGCTAGCTTTGTAGGTGCTCATCATATGCAGGGCGGAGGCTGCCTGTCCCGCCGCTCTACAGAATCGCGCCGCCATAGACGACGAGAACCCATAGGCTTTGGAGGGGCATCTGAGAGCAACCGCCGGTTGACCGGGGGAGCCCCAGCGTACCCACAGACAGCCGCATCGCCGAGGGGAGGAAGGGCGGGGAACTAAGCACGCTTTTTTTTTTTTTTTTTTATTTATTTATTTTTTAGTGCGTGTCAGTTCCGCATGCAACTCGGGGAAAAAAGGAAATTGGGGTTGGCCGTGGCCGTAAGGCGGCAGCGTTACCCAAAAACCAATTATTCAG